TTTAAGTTTTTTATGAAAACAACAAAGTTTTTTAAAAAATAATATGACTAAGAAAAGTTTTAGAATTAAATTCCACATGAAATGAAGTAGTAATGTATTAAATCCGCCGAAAGGTTAAAATAATCTGTCAAATTTTAGGGTACCATCACCCTTAATCAACCATTTGAAATGCCTCAATTGAGTTCAATTTGCTTTCAATTAATACTCTTGGTACACTCATAATATGTACCAAATTTTGTTTTTCTAGCTTAATTTATTATGAAGTCCTCTGCATGTCCCTGCTCTGTGTCGGTTCTTATGTGAATCACCCTGTATATAATATATATTTATATATTATATAAATAAATATTAGAAATTAGAAATATAAAAATCATTGGTCCTCGCTCAACATTTCTGCTAGGTTGATGAATTAACATCAAAAAACGTCACTGTCAAGAAGAAATGATGCAGAATGTCAATTTTTAATAAGATATATAAAATTTTTAAAATTATGAAAAAAATGTCTTAATCGGTGGTCTAAACCCACCGAATATTAAATTTTTAGTAATATTTAATTTTAATATAATTATTATAAATTATAATATAATAGTAATATTTAATATGCTACTAAATATCTTTTGAACGAGACAGTAGTGGAGGTGTATTGTTTCGAGACGTATAAACGTGTATATTTGAAACTGGGAGAAATTGCAATAAAAAAAGTCAGTCTACGGCCATTTCCGCAGGCGTGGCGTCGAAGAGTTAAATAAGCTACAGCAATTTCGCATTACTCGTAAATTGTTGCGCTGGTTTGCTTCCTATACATCCGGTCGATCTCAAACTGCATATATTGGCAGGTATAAATCCCCTGTCGATTCCAGTTACGTGTCATGTACCATAGGGTAGCAATAGTAACCCGTTTCCTTTATAATTTTCAATTTATAGAACTACTGTTTTTCTTGTACTATTCGCTAACATTGCTTAATGTATGCTGATGAGCTGAAGATTTTTCTTCCTTGTTCGTAATATAAGTCGTACTGTTTAACAGAGCGTCCTTGGCCATCTCTGCAATTTCAACACGGATAACATTATTTTATTCATGTACTAGCTGAACAATGGTCGCTCTAATTCCCAACCTCTCCCGAGCAGGAGTAATTTCCGTGTTTCTCCTTGTCAGCTCTGGTATGACTTTATATTTTATGCATCCACATCACGGATAATTGCGTATTGATCCTCCAGAGCCGAGGTGCATTTTAGTCAAACCAAGATTTTATTTTAAACTATAAAATCATACAATTTAAAGTTTACGAGAAATTACTTTAAAAGAAGGTTTTATAGTTATAAAATGCTGTTGGTGATATAAATAAGAGATATGGATTAAATTCTTTACTAAAAAAAGAAAATTAATAAATTAATTCTTTAATAATGTCCCAAACATACTCAATGGGTGATGAAAAGGCGAATTGGTGGGACCATGACGAGAGATTGATGTTATGCTCTGCAAATCCGTCCATAGGACTTCCTACAATATGGGACAGGTATTAACCTATTGGATAAGTGGGCATTTCAAATGTTAAAGCAACTGAAGAACATGGAGTTCTACCATTTCATCCACATTTTCGTCTAAATCTTATACAGTCGTCATGCATCTCTAAATAGAGTCGGGATTCATCACTGTACACCACTCTATACACACTATAAACATGGCTGTTGAATTTGAGCCGTTAATGAAAACACAGGATGTAGCCAATAAGATTGCAAAGATTTGATTTTCTATCTATAGCAACTTCGTTTATTACCTTAATAAGATTCCCTTTGCTTGGCCAGATCACGCTCCTTCATAACAGTTCTAGTATTATCGAGTTCTAGTATTATCTAGTATATCGGTTACAGTTAGAGGTTTTGCCTCGCAGACGGTGTCAGTCTCTTCCGGCGTACCTCAGGGAAGCATTCTTGGACCTCTGCTTTTTAATATTTATATTAATGACATATTTAAGTGTTTTAAACACGCTAACTGTTTAATGTATGCAGATGATCTAAAGATCTTCTGCCGCGTGTCAAATCCTAGAGATTGTTCTGCTCTTCAGCGTGATCTATACGAACTTGCTCAATATTGTTGCACAAACTTCATCACCATGAATTATAGTAAATGCTTTACAATTACTTTTACAAAAAAGCCTGGTCCCATACGCTTTGACTACATCATTGGAGGGAAGTTGTTGAACAGGGTTACTTCTATAAGAGATTTGGGCGTGACGTTTGATAGTAAGCTATTATTCAGTGAGCACGTCGATTCGGTGGTTAGCAAGGCTTTTCGTATGCTTGGTTTCGTCATGAGATCGGCTGCTGATTTTACCGACACTAATTCATTAATGACTCTCTATTATACGTATGTATTTAACATTTTGAATTATTGCACTGTTGTATGGAATCCACAATATAATATATTTGTGGAACGACTAGAGCGTGTCCAAAAGAGATTCGTTCGTTTTTTATGCTGGAAATCTCATACTACCTATGCTGACTACAACTCGGCGTGCCAATCTTTCCACTTGTTACGACTCGGCCAACGGCGACTTGCTAATGATATAATACTTTTATATAAAATAATTCATAATATTTATAAATCATCCTCGCTTACATCACTGATTAACTTCCACGTCCCGCCCAGATCGCTTCGTTTTGATTTTCTGTTCTTTACTACAACTCCGCGCACTAACTCCTATCAGCATTCGCCATTGCTGCGCTCTGCTCGCTCTGCTGACCGTCTTGCCATTGATATATTTGCGTACGATTCCTTAATCTCCTTTAAAAGAGCGACCCTTGCTGCTGTTGGGAACATGCCGTATATAGATTAATTTATATAGATTGATTTATACTTACAATTAGTTCTTGTCCTTTCACGTGCTGATTGTTAGATACCTCGGTTTTTTTCTTTTTCTTTCTGTTATTTTTGTTAAATTACTTATGCAATTTGAGATACTGATTTAAGTTTTTTTGTGTCCTTTTTTTCTTTCTTATTGTATTTTTTTAGTGGTACAGCTTGAATTGGGTTTGTCCTGTGCTGTGTCCCGTGAGCGTAAATAAATAAATAAATTAGCGTTGAGCTTGAGGACAGAGGAATATTTAATGAATTTTAAAATTCTTTGTATGACATCTATAAAATAAGCCTAAAACGACAATAAGCCAAGCAAGATAGTAAGAAGTTGCGATTTTGTCGGTAATAAACAACTAAGATCCATCATCTATCAGTTGCAGCCGGTAATGTTGATTATTAGTTTCTTCAATCATCCTTATCCTTGCCTCCACCGCTCGTTGTGAACCTTGACCTGTCATAAGTCATAACAGTTCCGAATTTTTATTATTGATCAGGGATTTCTAGTATACGGGCATTAATCTTGTCATCTCCAAATGTTGTAGTATGTTTCCAACACCAGCCTTTGCTACCAATCATTGTAAAAATCCACATCCGATAATAGTCAAATTTTGAATTATTCCATAGACCTCTCTGCATGCAGAGTGGAGCCGCTTACCAACGACAAAAACATTTTTTTTAACACACTGCTCAACGTGAATGATAAAACCGAAAACTTTAAAGAGTATAGACAAACTGAGACAAATAAGATTGGCACCTTGAATTACCTTGTAGTATTATTTTTACTTTTAGGTGAAATAAGCTGATATAGTATTGAGAGCAACAAGAAATCTAACGATAATATCTTGCTTGATCTTGAGTGAGTTTTCTATAGTCGACTCCAAAATGATACTTTCTAGCATACTGCTCATCGGAAATGATAAAATTGTCTTTATTAGTAACAAATACTCTAAAAGCTATAGAGCTACTGAAACTAAGGTTCTCACATTCTTACAGTTACTTTATATCTTAAGACTGTATGTGCAATATGCTCTTTACTTTCCTGTGTTATTGGGTCCTGCCCATAAGCTAATTTTGTAATTGTGTCAGAAACAATGGCCTGATTAGGAGCAAGAAAGATAGGAAGTTGACCAAGAACTATTATTTTCACAAGTCTGTTCTTCTTACGCATATCTTACACAAGTTTCTGGTAAAGTCTTCTAAACTTGTACTTTTTCTGCCTAACTTGATGCTAATGCATACCAACTTCTACAAGGCGAAAAAAATGAGATAGTATCCATCTTATTAACAAAAATCTATCAACTTTGGTTTGCAACCTCTTCGACATTTTAATAAAAAAAGGATTACGAGATAAAATTGCGTTAAATGAAACATCAGGGGCCATCTAGAAAATGTCTATTTTCCCCCATGCACTCATCGAATAATACCATTTTCTATCAACATCTGAATTACTTACACAAAATCATTTTTGATAAACTATCAGATATCACCATTTTTGTCGTAGTAAAAACTTTAATTCTTAGGTTAATCCCACTCTGTTAACGTTGAGTTGAGTACCTCTTATATATCATTTATCTCATAAACTGACTAAACTGAAAAGAAATTTCTATTGAGAACTTTAATTAGGGCAAAGGACAATAAAAAAAATTTAAAGCCAGAAAAGGATGATTACTTTTTTGCCATAAGCATGCATTTTTGTTAGGTATTCAGGTATACATGTAATTGGAGCCATTCTCTGTATATAAAGTTCACTAATTTTGACATGTTCTTTTACAAAAAGTTTTAGCCCAATTTCTTTTTACAGAAATAAAGACTACTTTTTTCCGAGATAATGATGAACCTAGAATTTCGCATGACTATTAGGGCTTTGATATTGTGGAATTCCGTTTTAATTACGGTTTTCTGGAAATGCACATAGTTTCTCACCCATTGTCGTTTCTACCGAAATCGTCGTATAGAGAGAGCATAATGGCTGTTGTAGAGCTTTCGTTGTTTTTGGGTGAGGTCAAGTGGGGTCAGTAGGTCGCGGTAGTGCTTCCGAGGCCCGGGAAGCTCAGAGCTCCCGCCAATACGAGAATAGCGACGCGGGTCACGTGGGCACAGCATCCCTTCTCCACATAGATCGCGCCGCTTCGACGAAAGCTCGAGTCTGACGGCGGCATCCCCGAAGCTCGTTCTTTTCAACGCGAGAGATTTCGCGCGCGTCAAAAAATACCTCTTTATCCGTAAAAATGTCGATAAGTACAAAAATGAGCACGGTTAAAAACTCATTTTCTTTGTACAAATTGGGTGAAAAAGCAGCTTTTTGAGCTTTTTCTCTGTTCCGAATCCGGCCTAAGACATCGATTGAATCAATTTTGTCCTCTCTGGGAAGGGAACTGAAATGTGATTTAGGGCATCGAAAGAAGTTTTATAGAAAAGTTAAAAATTACATATAAAAGAAGAGATTTTATTTTTGGGTTGACAAAGAATTGAAATGGTTGGAGCCGAAATGAAGGTGGCGACGGTAGAGGTGGAGTCGGTGGACAATATGGCCACCCTTCCGGTATCGAGGGCTTATGGTGGCGGCGGCGGTGGCGGAGGCGATGCGACCACTGTCGAGAGGAACAACTCAACCAACAAAGAAATGGAACTTAAAATGGTTCAACCCAAGCCGGATAAGAGGTGAACGACGAGTTCTTTGTTCTTCATTAGCCATTCAACGTTTAAAACGGTTCCGTTGCTCAATGCGGAATTGACGTTGAATATTTCATTACGCAATTTAAACGTGACATCACATTTGAATTTTATGTGAAAGAAAATAAAAAGTTATTTTTAATAGTTTTCTTATAATAATTTTTCTTTAAGTAAATACTTTTGAGACGAGTTACAGAAAAAAAACCTTTTTTTTTGGTGATAATTACATAAGAGTGTAAGATATATATTATACGTCGTGACATACAATTTAAAGTTGATTCTCAATAACGTTCTGTCATCCACAATTAAAAAAATATTTATTTTTTTTGTCAGTGTTATACAAACTATTCTACATAAACCTAACAACAAAAGTATATACAGGATGTTCAACGCCATTTTCATAAATCATCTTGCTTTCAATAATTTTAGGAATTTCAATTAAAAGCATGATTAATTTACTTAATTCTAACTTTTGGGTTATGCCGTGTGTCTTTTGAAAGTTTTTGACGTTTAGTTGTCATCTTCTTCTTTTTAATATGGATATCCATATTGGTAGGCTACTGTCTGTTCATTGTCAATATGTCCTTCTCGGAAGATGAGGTCCAACATTATCGTCATTGTTTAGATGGTCCTTCCTGTGCTCCTACTGGCTTATTAATTTTTGCACTTTTAACGAGTCTGTCGTTTTTCATCTCTCTGTTCCACCCATCTGAATGTAGTAATCTTTGGAGATTGTCTTCAGAATCTGCAATAAGGCTCTATAGAAATCTGCTTTCCCATTTTTAATCCAGCTCCTTTGGAAAGGTTTTCTATTATTTTATCTATTATCAGATTAAATATGAAAGGGCTGAGAGAGTCTCCCTGTCTAATCACTGTTTACATATACATACATATGTATATGTCCTACGCTAATTTTTGTTTTACATTGGGTGTTAATGTCCTATATTAGGTTAATTGGCCTATGGTTTCACATTTTATTTCTACGAGATCCTTTAAGCGCACTCTGTCAAAAGCCTTTGTTATATCGACAAAGCACATGTACGCATGTTTATTAAAATCACTACAACCCTAATCGGCTTTTGGCCTTATTCGGTTTGCCTATCCGTTCCTTATTATCCCGAGCTGATATCTTCCAACTTCACGCCCTCAGCTATGTCTTTGCGGCGTGTTCCCATCTTTTCATTGATCTTCCGGTTGGTCTTTTTCCATGCATTGGGCTATACAGGATAATTGAAATTCGACCCCACCATTGGAATCTCAGAAACCATAAGAGATATAGAGATGGTTAAATGGACGTAAAGTTGCGTATCTTAGAGCTCATCATTTTTCAACTAAGTTTTTGGATCCAGCCGTTTTAGTTTTTAAAATATGGCCGAAAAACAAAAAAATGACTTTTCCGTTTTTTGCCTATAACTTCTTTATTTTTCGTTTTTTCGTGAATCTGAAAAAATATTTTTGAGGCAACGTTTTATGAAAAATGTCATGACACAACTAGAAATTTTCTCCGACGTTTCGTTTTCGTGAAACTATCATCAGGTTTATTTTTTTTTATGAACGCCATATTTGATTTTCACACCAAAAAATAGGATAATTAATTCTGATTTCAATGATATGTTACACAATGTATTTCATTTAAAAAACAATGAACTATTCAAAAAAAAAACCTGATGATAGTTTCACGAAAACCAAACGTCGGAGAAAATTTCTAGTTGTGTCATGACATTTTTCATAAAAAGTTACCTTAAGAATGTTTTTTCAGATTCATGAGAAAACGAAAAATAAAGGAGTTATAGGCAAAAAACGATAAAGTCATTTTTTTGTTGTTCGGTCATATTTTAAAAACTAAAACGGCTAGATCCAAAAACTTAGTTGAAAAACGATGAGCTCTAAGATACGCAACTTTACCCCCATTTAACCATTTCTGTATCTCTTATGGTTTCTGAGATCCCAATGGTGGGGGTCGAATTTGAATTACCCTGTATATCGTTCTATTCGGGTATCTTCTGATAACGTGCCTCGCCCACCGTAATTTTTGGCTTTTTGCATAGTCGGACAGAAGGAGTTTCTTGTTTTGCTGGTATATTTCGTGGTTGTACCTCGCCGTGCAAAGGTTGTTCTTATTCCATCGATTCCAGGAACCTTTTTATTCTTCGTTGCCCCTAGAGCTTTCCAGGTACTTTTAATTTCTTCTTGATCACTTATTATTTGTCCCGATTTATTTTTGCACAGGGTAAAGTTTGGTTAGTGTGCCTGTCTCAGTTGCTTCAGATATTTATACTATTTTCTCGTATCGTGCGCTTCAAAATCCTCTTCCATCATGAGGATTGGGTTATTTTCATAGTCTCTCTTCTTTGTTCTACATATTTTTGCGCTCTTCTGCGGTTGTCTCCAAAGATCCTTCTCTTTTCCTTTATTTGTTTTGTAATATATTATGTAGTTACGATAGGCTCGATTTCTCAATTCTATGAGATTTCGACATTCCTCATCAAATGATTTCTGTATTTTTTGTTTTCGTTCTGTTCCCAAAGTCTTAGTAGCGGTTGTCATTATAGTGTCCTTTAGGTTGTTCTATTGCTAATTGATCTCCATTCCGCTCAGTAGTTTGAAACCTTATGGAGAATATGTTTGTCAATTTTTCCCAGATATTCTTCCTCACTCCTATCTTGGCGTTCATCTGGCGATCTTGACATCGTTCGAAGAGGTAGCGCCGTATAATCTGTCTAGTTGTTGGTAGAAATCCTCTTTTGTGCTTATCTCTTTATCCTGTGTCTGTTTTAATTTTGCGAATTTTATTTAGTGTTTGTTGAGCTCATGATATGATAAGCATTAGTACATTCCATGCTGCAATTCCTTGCTTAAGTCGTTTTCGATAGTCCCATCCGTAGGCTCTATTGAATGTTTCGTAGTAGGTAAGTTTTTTCGGGTCCGGATTCCTAACCATAGCGTTTAATAGGGTTCCTAACCCTGTTTCCCACCTGGGCTGGTTACTGCGGTCTTCCGCAGGGCTGCTCACATTTCTAGGGTTCAGCACCGTAGAGGTGAACCCTAGAATCCTTTTTTTGCTACGCTATAATTAGCAGATAGTTCCTCCAAGGAATCAACACTGCCCTTGGTTTAATTTTTGCTCGTTCTATACGTAAATTTCCATGTTTCGACAATAATAGGTTTGTCTGTATATCGTTACACCATATATTGATGGGTTTTTAGGCATTTATTGCATACGTTTTCTGAATGCCTGCAACTTCTCATCAATTTAGGTATTGACTGGGCACATAGTATGTCTTACAACTTTGAACAAAGATAAAGGCATCAACATCTTTAGCGATTGTAGCGTTTCTATCGGTCACATATTCGCTGAAATCTGTTAGTTCTTCGGCTGAATAGACTTCTTTAAAATACTTCTGCCAACTTTCTATTGGCACAATCTTGGTTTGAAGAAATTCCTTTGCTTAGTGTTTCCATTTTCTCAACATTTTCCACACCTTCCTTTGCCCTCTATAGAGGTCGTACGTCATATCACACGTGAAGTTTATCACAATTCTTTTTTCATAGCTTTTATTCTAGCAATTTACTTCATCTCTGACACGCGTATACTCAGTGCCCGCTTCGGGTTTTCAAACACTATTTTAGACATTTTTGTTTTGTATGTTACAATAATAAGAAGTTCCATCCTCTAATTCCATAATTATAAATTTATTATTATGCAATTGTTTTATCAAAATATAATACAATTATCAAAAAAAAAAAATTTGTCAGTGCTATTGGCTCGCAGTTTTCGTGTTAGAAGGGTTTCCAACGAAGTCGATCAATACTTTCAAGGCAATTAATTTTCGCTCAACTATTACACACCACATACCAAGAAAATTGAATGGTAATTACATAAAATAAGATAGTTAGAGACGATATGTCATTATTTATTCATATGTAAGCACTAAAGGGTTAAATGTAAAGTGATTTTTAGCACGATATTATTTAAATAAATTCGTATAGTTATCAACATCTTCGTAGGTGGAGATTGAACTGATGATATCCAATTTCGTTGTTTTGCAGTCCACAATTGGGTTGGGGTTGGGTTGTATACAGGGCGTTTTCGCTGCCTGTTTGGCTAGCTTGTCCACCTTCTCATTGCCCTCAATGTCTCTGTGACCTGGAACCCACCATAGAGTAACGTCATTGCCCCTAGCAAGTTTTCTCAGGTTGCTAGTACGCTCTCTGATCAGTGCGGAGTCACGCGTGTAGGCCTGAATTGCCTTTAGGTTGGCCCAACTGTCTGTGAAAATGTTTATAGATGCACCTTTCCTTTTGTAGGTTCACTGCGGTGCAGAAAATTATAGCAAGTACTTCTGCTTGAAAAATGGTTATGTCCGAGCTGAGGGGCAATTTAATGGGACTGTTTGGTCCACTAATGACCATGCCTACTCTGAATCCAACTGTCTTTGAAGCATCCGCGTACCAGACAAGGGCTCCTCTTTTTAGTTGAGGTCCGCCCTTCGTCCAATCATCCCTGCTTCTAAATATGACCTTATACGACTGGTCGAAATTGTATTCTGTCGGTATAAGGTCAGTTTTAATTTCAATCAAGTGATTTAGATATGGGTCCTTGAGGATTTCGAGGTGTCCTCTGAGGTTACATGCATCAGCTTGAGTGAAGAGCATGTTTTCAATGATAAGGCACTTAAAGCTGCCTCCTTTTGTATATATAAATGAAGTAGTGTGAGATCGGGTAAAGCTTCAAGAGCAGCCGTCGGACAAGATTTCATTGCACCCGTTATATTAAGACATACTAACCGCTGGATTTGTTCCAGCTGTTGTGCTGTCTTATGATTTGTTTTTGGCCACCAAACCAGTCAGGCGACCATGGGTCTAATTATTGCTACGTAGGCCCAATGAGCCATTCGTGGTTTAACACCCCAGTTCCTTCCGAGAAACCTGCGGCAGATTTGATTAGCCATGATGATCTATTTCCTTGCCTTGTCTATGTAGGAGTT